TTTTCCTCACCTGTAGACCGAGAGCAACAGGACCCCCACCTCATACCTCTGTGTGAAGACTAAATGAGAAAATGCCCTTGAAGCACCCCAGCCCAGAGCCTAGCACACAGTAGGTGCTCCATAAATGTTAGTCTCCTTTTTTCCAAGAATTCAGTACCATTAGTTAGACCAAGTCTTCACGGAAATAGGCGTCCTGCCAAAATGCAGTTAGGCATAAGGACTACAAGATTTTGAATAATCTCAGTCGCCACTGTCAGGGGACACCCTGCACCGTGCTTTTCCAAGCTTGTGGACCTCCAGGTATTCCCCACTGCCTTCCACAGTGTCAGCCCCTCAATCCCGCTGGTTTTACCTCTTCTCCTCAAGCCCTCCCAGTGTCCCAGCATGGAAGGTTTCTGCAGGGTCCCCCAAACGTGCCCTACCCATTCCTGCCGCTGTGTGACTGTTCAGGCTGTCCTTCATTGGAGTGTCTTCTTATATCCCATCCTACCATCCCACTCATTCAGATCTTTTTTCCATGCTCAGCTCACAATCCCCCCCCCGCTTCCCGCCATGCTTCTCAAAGCTTTTCTCTGGCTGCTGAGTAACTTACCTGCTTCCTCCCCATGGCTCTTGTTTCTGAATCAGTACTTTCAACCCTTCCTCCCTGTCCATGGCCCCACAATGTTGTTTAACCCCCTATCCTGTTTGCCACCTCCTTTACAAGCTCCTGGAAGGTGGGGCCATTCTCCCCTGTCTTTGATGTCTCCTACCATACCTGGGATACTGCGGAGCATGTGGCTGGTGCTTGGTAAATAACTCCTGAAGGGATACAAAGTCTTTCCTGGTCCCTGGGTCAGAGAGGACCTGGGGGTGGAGGGCGCAGGCGGGGCACAGAAGGGTGTGGGAGCCAGCTGAGAGGAAGTAGGGGTTGGAGAGGAGTTTGAATTCTGCAGAGCTGCAGGGTGGAGCTGTGCCCTGGTCATCCTTTGCAGTAACCTTAGGCACCCTTGACCCCTCAGGGAGAGCTGGGACTAGAGTAACAATCCCCATCTCTCATATTCATACATCCCTATTGTGGGGAACAAAGAACTTTCACGTTCCAGCTCACCTGCTCAGCAGCCCTGGGGACAAGTAAGATGGTGCAATCTCCACCCCCCTCCCCAACACACCCCTTTTGTAAATGAGGACATTGACGCTCAGAAAGGCCAAGCAGCTTGCCTGAGGTTACACAGCAAGTGAGGGGAGAGCCTCAAGAGGGAAGGTGGTTCTGTCAGACCCCCGATCCAGGGCTCTGTCTGTGGCACTATGCCTCCCTGTGCCTCTCCAGGCTTGCTTTGGCTTTGCCACTGCTCTAAAGATTCAAATAGGAGCCTGAGAAGGAGAGGAAGCCCCCACTGTAGAGGCCACACCAGACCCCATGAGGTCAGAGTGAGGACCTCAGGCCCCTGCTACTCCCGTGGTTGCCTGGGTGACTGAATGTACCCGTTGCTTCTGTGGCCGTTCACCTTCTGCCCTTGTGCCTAGCCTTCAACTTGGCATATAGCAGAGACTTGAGATATTTGGTGGCTAGTACCTCAGTTTCCCCTTCATAGATTTGCTCACTCCTTTCTTTCTCTTGGCAGATAGGGTGAGGCTAAATTAATGTTTACTTAAGAGCTTCTGCATTCTGAGCTGACAGGTGCCTTGTGATAGTAAAATATGAACCCAACGTAAGTGCAAAATGCTATTGTTTTACACCTGAGGGTGATGTTTCATAATGGCAATGCACTGTCAGGGCCGTAAGCAGAAATGAATGGTGTGTCTAATCCTCCCCAGCTCCCCCAGACTCAGAGGACAGCAGCTCACATCCCAGGGTGGGAGAAATATGAGGCTACTCTCCTTTTGCTATAAATCTGCCATTTCATCAGCCTTGACAGGTGGCTGGACAATCCCAGTCAATTCATCAATTAAAGCTACCCATTTGTAGTTGCTGGGAACCTTGTGTCCTTGGCTCTGGCAAGATCCGAGGCCTGGAAGTGCAGGAAGGCTGCTGTCATTGTAGTTGATGCTCCTGGTGGGCAGAGGGGGCCGGGGAAGGAAGGGGCTGTCACCGGGAGGCAGGGAGAGTGGAATGGATTAACAGCCAGGAGAGAAGGGGACTCAGAATGTGTGTTTGGGTTGGGATTGGGATGGAGGAAAGAGTGGGGAGGGGTACTCAGCCTGGAAAACCAGATTTTGTGGTTCAATTTGTCTTCGGCATGGTTTGTACAGCAAGTGATGCCTTCTTCTGGCTCTGATGTAAGGCAAAGTCAGGTTCCAGTCCCAGCTCTGGCACATGCACGTTGTGCAACTTTGGGTAACTTCTCAGAGTTTTAATTTCCTTATCTGTAAAATACCCCTACAGAGTTGTGACTCCTTTATAATAGAAATGTAATATTTGGAATGGGCCTGGAACTGAGCCTGGCCTGTAGTTAACAGTGAAATCAGTGGTGGCTACTGTTACTGCTGGAGGTACCATCTTTACGGAGGGCAACATCATACTTATCCTTAAGTATTTACTTACCCTCTCCCAGGAGTCACACAGTCCTGAATGCCTCCTGTCAGGGATCTTCCTCTGTTTCCTGAGTCCATTTGTCAGGCACAAAGTAGAATCTTTCTGTACCTTGATGGATTTTGGCTTCCAAAATCCATGCGGCTGCTGTGGTGAAGGTGTCTCATTAACTAGGTTGTCTCCAGAAGCTCCCAGAAGCCCAGAGCCATGTCCCTGCTCCCAAAAGCTAAAGATTATCTGAAATGACCAGAGTCCAACAGGGGCTGCTCCCTGGAGAAATGTTTGTATGTGTGTACCTGTGTGTGTATGTGCATGTGTATTAATCCTGTTCTTTGCCAGCTGAAAGTGGAAGTTGATGGCTGGGTTGTGTTTGAGGAAGGTGAAGGTCCCCTCTTTATTACTGCAATTGTCACACTGTGGCCATACATCAAGAAAGCAACTCTGGGGTCAGATTGCCTGAGTCGGCATCCCAGCATTTGGTCTCTCACTGCCTTAGTTTCCTCATCTGTAAACGGGGATAATAATAGTACCTAGCTCAGGGCTGCTGGGAGAACTAAAGGTCACACGAGCAAAGTGTCTGGCACACGGAAGAGGCTTAGCATGTATTCGTTGAGTGAACCTTGGTGAGGAAGTCTTTCAGAAGGTGAGCTGGCTCATGGGAGTGGGATCTGGTAAGTGTGGATCCTAAGAGAAGCCCCCCTACACCTCAGTTTGCTTACCTGTGACACGGTATGATTTCATGGTGGGGAATACTCTGGTAACAGTGAGCTGGGCATGCTTTGGGAGCTTCTGTGGGTCCCCCACAGAGCAGACTTGCTCAACCACCAACCCTGTGACTGTCACAAGGGAGGCAGCATGAGGAGGAGGGTGGGAGGCAACGTGGCCCCCTGCTCTCTCCAAGTACCTTTCAGTCCCTAAGGGTGCAGTGCCTGGTGGGGACAGCAAATGCATTTGCTAAGAGGAGGCCCCTGACACCGCTGCAAGGAACCCGCGAATGTGTTTTCCAGCACCGCTGCTAATGGCTTCATCACGGCTTTTTATGAGACGATGTGAATTGCTCTGGCCAATGAGGCTTAATGGCCTTCCTCAACGAGCTGCCCGGTATATTCTCCCTAGAGGCTCAGCTTAGAGTTAAGCCAAGAATATTAATACAGCTGGATGTGGGTCCTCCCCCTTCCCATAAAGTTGTGGAAATTGAGGTCAAGTTGGGTCCCCTGCCATGTTCTTTAAACAAGCAGCAGAGTGGTTTGTTTGCTCCTTGATCTTCCTGGTAGAGAGGGAGTGGCTTCCAGCTGGAGACCTGGGACCAGGTCCTCTCTCCCCCTGAGTTTGCTTCCACGTGCCTGGAGGTAGCCTTCTTAAAGGGGCAGGCTCCTCGGGAGGGAAGGTGGACCCCCTGATTCTAACATTCAGGGCTGCTGGGATAAGAGCAGGAAACACGAAGGCCCTGTGCTGGGATGAGAGGAGCAGATGGCCCATCCTCCCTGTCGGGTGGCCCTACCGTTGTCAGCTGTAGCCATGAGCACATTCTCCTGCGCAGGTGAGGGTTGGGATGGCAACATGTCAGAGATGGACGGGGGCTTTGAAGTCTTGCCCACCCCTCCCCCCATTTTACAAGTGAAGGAGCAGATGATCAGAGGGGAAGGGAATTCTGCAGTCAAGTGTGTCTGGGCTGGGTTTAGAGGCAGGGCCTCTTGCTCCCCGAGCCTGATCTTATCCCCCACCTTACTGCTGGTCCTCATTCAGCTGTTTGTGGTAATACGTTTTCCAAATCGACCTCCATGGGTGGGAGACAGCTCTCAAGGTCTCCTACAATCTCCCATCTTCCAGGGGAGGATCCCAATTCCTGCAGCCATTCCTCCTAGCACATGGTTTTGAAATCATTTACCTTTTGTTTGTGGGATGGTGGAAAGAGCACTAAAATCCTCTTTAGGAGTGATGGGTTCAAGTGTCCCATTCCGTAACTTAGCTGTGCGATCTTAGACAAATCACATAACTCTTCGCAGCCTATAAAAAGAGGTGATAAAAGAGTGATACCATCTCCTCTCAGAGTTGTGCAGATGAACCGAGGTAAAGGGTAGGAACCTGCTGTATGTAGCAGGTGCTCTGTATGTGCTTATTTATCTAATCATTCCAGTGTCTCTCCTCATGTGTGGATGTCAACAGCAAATCCTGACTTTGGACCCTTCAACACAGAGTGTGTGTCAGCCACCCCCCTCCACCCCGGCCCCCATGGACTTGTCTTGGCATGGAGGATGAGACTTTCAACCTTTGTCATTCCTGTGCAAGGTTGGAAGCTTCTATAGATCAGGAACTCATATTCACCTTTGCCAGTGCCTGGTGTATAGTCAGCGCTCAATAATTGTCATTGAACGACTGATGCTTGAAGGTGGGATGAATGCTGGCTGTTACAGGCCTCCGTGGCCTACCTGGATGCAGTATTCTTAGAGCTCATCATAACCGAGTCTCTCTCCTGCCTCCCCTGCAGCCCGCCCTGAAGATGTTGGCACCAGCCTCTACTTTGTAAATGACTCCTTGCAGCAGGTGACCTTCTCCAGCTCTGTGGGGGTGGTGGTGCCCTGCCCAGCCGCGGGCTCCCCCAGCGCGGCTCTTCGATGGTACCTGGCTACGGGGGACGACATCTATGACGTACCACACATCCGGCACGTCCATGCCAACGGGACGCTGCAGCTCTACCCCTTCTCCCCCTCCGCCTTCAATAGCTTTATCCACGACAATGACTACTTCTGCACCGCGGAGAATGCTGCCGGCAAGATCCGGAGCCCCAACATCCGCGTCAAAGCAGGTAAGGGACGAGATGCCCACTGCCCAACTGGGAAGCTCAGTAGGAAGGGCTGGCATAGGGACTGGGGTCCACAGCGCCATCGTTCTGAGGATAGGAGGGTACAGTGCTGGGGGGGGGGGGTTGGAAGAAATCATTTACTCAAAGACAGGTTTGTTGTTTTCCTTTGAATCTTAGTTCTGCCACTTACTGTGTGTCCTTGGGCAGAGAAGACACCTTTCTAAGCCTCAGTTTTCACATCTGCAAAGTCGATGCTAGCACCTACCTCCTGCATCACTACATGTGATGGTTAATGAGAAAGCGCTCATTTCAGTACAGCGCTCACTTCAGCCTTTGACTCATAGAAAACGTGCAGTTTCTATTTTTTTTAAAAAAGCCTTTCATTGAAATTTACAAAGAAAAGGGCAGATATTATAAGTATGTAGCTTGATGAATTTTCTCAAAGTTCAAATACCCAGATCAAAAAATACAACATCAGCACCTCAGAAGCCTCCCAAATGGTTTTTTGGGGTCATAATTCTTCTAAGAGGAACCACTATCCCGACTTGTAACAATGCAGGTGTTTGCCTGTTTTTGTTCATTGTGTAAATGGAACCCTATAGTATGTCTTCTCTTGAACCTTTTGTTCACTCGTCTGTTTGTGGGTTACCCTGTGGTTGTGTAGGTCGTTTGCTCCCATTGCTGGAAAGTATTCTGTGTGCGACTGGACTGCACTTTACTTGTCCATTCTACTGCTGATGGACGTTTGAGTATAACCCATCTCATGAGAACAGGTAGAAGTCATGATGGAAAACTCTTAGCAGTGAAGGATTTGGTTTTTTGGAAGAGTTGATGGAGGCAAAGAAGCAAGGATTTCTCAGGCGGTCTCTTTAAAGAAGATAGAAAGTCTCATTTCTCTGGGTTAGGTCTAGAGGCGAGGGGATGGCTTAGATCAGCTCTTCTTACCTAGGCCATTATGAGACACTGGTGTATCATTGTCAGTGGTAAGGTGTGCCGCGAGGAGTGATAAAGCACTGAGGTTTGGGGAAGGGTTTTCTTAGAAGGGCTTTTTGGGTGGGAAGGGGCAGGGGGCGTTCTAGCCAGCTCACTGCAATGGCACCGAGCCTAGGGCACCATCTTTCCTGCTGATTGTGTTGGGCAGACTCAGGAGAGTGATTCTGGGGAGGGTCTCCCAGCCATCGTGCCTAGTGACAGACCCTCTCTGACTTCTGGGTCCTACTGCCTTAGGAGTGCCTCTCATGAGGACAAGGTTCCAAGTAGCTGAGAGTAGGGGTGTTTAGGGGTGCGATGGAGGGAGAGCTCTGCTGCAGACCATCGGTTTCTATAGGGTGGACTATGAGCCCTTAGCACCCAGGGCCATGCTCTGGGTTTCTCCCCTCCCTGGGCTCCCTATGGAATCTCTTTTTGGGAGTAGGTCCTTTGCGCTGTTCCCCTAATGCAACACCAAGTGCTGGGCTGGGAGCCCTGAGGTCTGGATTTGGAGTCTAGTTCTGGCTTCCACAGCTTAGAGGATTGGGCTAAATGGAAGGGACATCATGTTTCCTGTGACATGCCTGTCATTAGGTGAGGATGCAGTTTTCACAGTAAGTCTGTTAAGTGTTTTTTTACAAATGAGGGCACTGAGACAAAGAGAGGTTAAGTCACTTGCCTAAGGGCCTGTAGCCAGTTAATCACAGAGGCGCAGCTGTCATGAAAAGCAGCATTGTTGCAGTGCTTTCCATGGGCTGGCCTTTTACATGCTGTTTTACAAATGAGGAAACTGAGGCTGCAAAGGTTGACTAACTGTTGTCCAGGATCACACAGCTGGCCACTAGAGGGGGCGGGGCCTGCTGGCTTGATGCTCCTCACTGTTAGCCTCCGGACTCCCTGGGACCGACCTCCGTGCTGCGTTCTGCACCACCCTTTCCCTCCACCTCTCTGCCTCCCTCCAGGGTCAGCTCCCCTCATTCTCCTCTGTGCTCCCCCACATCTGGAGGCAGCGCCCTGCCCAAGCCCACGGAAGGGCTGGACCACAGCCCAGAGAGCCAGCAGTGGCTTTCCTCTCTGTCTCTCCACCTTCACTGCATCTCTTTCCCATCACAGCCACAATACGGAGAAGGAGGAAGAATAAAGACCTGGGGAGGGCCAGATCAACTGGAAACACAACTAGTTAGGAGGCTCCTGATGATGCCAGAGGGGCTGCATGTGCACAGCTGGTTGGGGGGGGGAGTTCTGCAAGGGCCATAGGAGTTGCCCTGGCAACTGTGGCAGGGAGAGGAGGAGGGTGTGCTGCCCAGATGCCTGCTGAGGGACAAGGTTGGTAGGCAGCGGGGCTCTGGATGTTCCAGCTCTGCTTGGCAGAGAAGCCGAAGGATCAAGTTGGCCGAAGACTGGGTAGAGGCAGGACCCTCAATCTAGTTTCTAATGCTGGATCAGTCCACCTATAGGACCTGATACATAGAGCGGCTGCAGGTGACAGTGCCCCAGAACAATCTTAGGAGCGAGGCAGGAGGTGGACACTGTGGGAGAGGGGATAGGTCTGAAGGCAGGGCAAGGCTGGGGCAGGGGAGTGCTCCAGAGGCTGCAGGACTGTCAGGAAGTAAGAGAAAGCAGCAAGGATATTTTGTTTTGGAGAATCTTTGAGACTGTGTCCATGTTTCTGAGTTCTGCATTCTCAGAGACAATCACAGTTTCAAATGGTGTCTCCCATTGTCCTTCTAAACCACCTAGGCCTTCCAGAAAGTTCAGTATCTGAACTACATTTCTCAGGCTGCCTTTCACATTGAAATGGCACAAAACTCTGTTGTCAGATCACGTGTCATGAGTTTTATTTTGGCAAATTACAGTCCAAAATAAAAGGAATAGTATGGGAAATCCGGTTTGGTTTCTCTAGGGGAATTCTATCAAATTCCCTTATTAGCTACACACCCCCTTGTTGAATATGATGACATTGCAGGGTTTAGGTGCTGCCCTCAAGACCCTTTCAATCTAACTAACACGATTCACTAATACTTGCCAAACTGGGAAAGGTTGGAATTTGGATGTATAATCTCATAGAGGAAGGCTAGACATTTTGGAGGGAGAGTAGCTGTCCAGTGGGGCGGGGAGGAGGTTGATGGAGAAGGAGTTGCCCAGACAGGAACAAGGTCACGGCTGGAACCTCTGGGCTGGGTAAGCAGGAGGTGGGAGGACAGAAGTGAGGAGGTGAGGCTGCGGGTGCTGCCCCCCATATCCTTGTGACACTCCTCTTCCCCATTCCCAATCTCTCTACAGTCTTCAGGGAACCCTACACCGTCCGGGTGGAGGATCAAAGGTCAATGCGTGGAAACGTGGCCGTCTTCAAGTGCCTCATCCCCTCCTCAGTGCAGGAATATGTTAGCGTTGTGTCTTGGGAGAAAGACACAGTCTCCATCATCCCAGGTAAGAAAGAATCATGGGTGTGGCAGGCAGGGATGCTTGGGTGGAGGATGGATAAAGTAGAGGCGTCTGAGTCAGTTGTTGAGCTAAGCAAGAGCTTGAGATTGGTCTGGTGGGTGATTTGTTATTAGTCTGGTGGTGCTTCAGCAAAAATGCGTGCTTGGTCTCGGTCTGTACATCTCCAGGTGGGGTGGTGAAGACCTGCGTGCCAGTGGCCTCTGCTGGGTGTGTGAAGGTCCCGTTAGACAAGGGGTGGTTTCTGTTCCCCCACAGGAGAGGGGGCCACCATCCTTCCTGACCACTGGGATTTTGTGTGACCTTGCTCTAAGGGGTGGGAGGCAAGGCTGGAGGCACCTTATCTGTGAAAGCTGCTTGAGAGGAGGATAAAAGGCTGGTTTGTGGTTTATGTTCCTGCATGGAATGACTAGAGCAATGAGCACTGGATCCTTCGAGAGGATTCTTCGAGTAAGCATGCATATGGGAATTTTGCATGAGTTGGCTAATGACTCCATCAGAATTCTAGCTGGCCTCACTCCATGGCAGCTGTTGGGAGATGGGGTTAATACCATGTTGTAGGTTCATCTCATTACAGCTGCTGTGATTGTGAATCCCTCATTATTGGTTCCTATTTCTCTCTGCAGAGTTGTCCCTCCAACAGAAAAACAGGTCTAGAAACCTCAAGAGAAGACCTCAAGTCCTTAAAATACCTCTAGGCTTCTAGTTACAAAACTGCAGGATTTTCCACCACTTACTCCTACATTTCTGCACATTGTAGAGCTTCTGCTGCTTTTTCTTCCTTTCTCTACCAAGGACCTTTGTTTTCCTTTCTGCAAAACAGAGGAACTTGACCAGGTGTTCTCTGGGTGCCCCCCAGGCATGAGGTTCTCGTAGCTGGTTGTATGAATGATTCTTGTTCCTCAGGGTTTACAGGTTAGTTGGGGAAAACAGGATTTCTATGCATGAAAGGGGTTCTTAATCCTGCTCCTCGTTCAAATCCCTGGGGAGCTCTTTAAAAACACCAATGCTTGGGCCCAACCTCAAATCAGTTGAATCAGAATTTCTCAGGAGTGGAATCTGGACGTCAGCTTTTTCTAATACTCCCTAGGTGGTTCCAGTGTATGGGTAGGAGACAAACCAATGCTTAGGAATATTGGCAACTAACATGGCAGGATAGTTTTTTGAGACATTAATTTGTGTTTAGGCCTCAGTACTTTTTTCTTCTCTCTGTTCGAAGCAGATGGCCAGACCATTATATCTCCTGGCTTCAGAGCTTGTGGCAGGACAGGGATCCAAAGTGACTTGAAGACAACTGCCTTTCCTGTCTTTTGTGAAAACATAGAAAAGGGTAGGATGGGTGTTCTGCTTGGGAGGGGAGCCTGGGAGGGCAAGGAATAAACGGGAGACAAAAGCATGCCAGGGCAGGGCTGGTACTGTACTGCCAGTGGGTGCAGCTGGAAGAAGTAGGTGGACCCCATGGGGTGTCTGTGTGGGGGCCCACAGGGCCCGGGACTGAAGCCAAGGTTCTTCTGTCCAAATGAGGCATGAGGTGCAACCCAAGACCCAAAGGGATCATGCAGGCAGGGACCATGAGCTGGTGAGGACCAGAGGAACCCTGGGGAGTCCCTCTAATAAAGATGGAGACAATTTCCTGCCTATCTAGCAGAGTCAGATTTAAGGTGATTTAAAGAACGTAAAGAAATGTGGTATTTCTTATACACTTGAGTTTATGGACTAATCATCATCCATTAAAATAACAATAATAATTGTCATATTAAAATTTTTGAGTGCTTACCATATGCCAGGCACTGGGCTAAGAAACTTTGATATATGACCTCATTTTATCCTTGCAAAAGTCCTTAAATGTATTTCTGCCCCCTCCATTTTACAGAAGAGGAAACTGAGGCTCAACGAAGTAGAGTAACTTCTGGGTCACATGTCTGTTAAGAAGAGGGTGGGGGCTTGAACCCAGGTCTGTTTTTTTTCAGCCTGTGCTCTTAACCCACACAGAAAGGCCTCTTCCCACTTACACAAATGTATTCAACAAAATGTTACTCTGGATACAATGGAGGCATTAAATGTGTGCTGTAGGCAATGAAGGTTTTGGCCTCAGTAAGGGGGAAAAAAAAATCAATGTTGGCTTTTGTGGGGAAGGCTTTGTGGAACCAAGTCTAGTGTAGTGATTGAGAGCCTAGAATGTAGGACCAGACTGCCTATGGTCTGAAACTCACTCCATTGCTTACTAACTGGACAAGTAATTTACCCCCTCAGTTTCCCCAACTGTAAAATGGGTTCATAGGGTTCAAGTAAGAATGGAATGAGTTAACGTATGTACAATGGTTAGAACACTGTCTGACACATACTGAGGCTGGATTGTAGCTATTATTAGTTGGGAGAGACATTCTCCTCTTTGTACTTGGTATTTTCTGTTGTGTTGTATGAGTTTCTACTATGTAACAAATTCCACATTCCCCACAAACCTGAGTTTCCCAAGGGTGGGAACTGGGTTGTTTTCATCCACATGTCCCTGGCTCCTTCCACACTCACTCAGGGTAAATGCTCACTAACCGTTCAGTGAACAGATGAATGGATGGTTGTAAGAATTCTGAAGAAATCTGGAAACAGTAGGGACAGAACCATTGAAATAAGGATGAGCACGGTGGCCATGGGGTAGTAAGAAAACCAGAGCGGACAGCAGAGAAGGAAGGTTAACGGGCTCCTGTGCTTAGGAGCTGGAGGCAGTGAGCTTCCCCAGGCGCCCTTGCAGTTGGTGCTTCAGGGCTGTCTTTGATGTTGAGGCTGGGCTGCTGGCCCCAAAGGGCATAATTACCAGGGAAGTGGCCTTGATGCTAATCTGCAGGGCTGTATTATTAAACTTTTCTTCTGTAGAACCCTTTTCTTTCCTTTGGCCTGGGAGAATTTTCTTCTCCTGCCCAGCCCTCCAGCCCCATCCATAATCATTCTAGATCCTTCTACAGCTATGTGTCAGATGCAGGGACAGTCTTCTTAAAGCTCACAAATCCAAATAACATGCTCCCAGAAGAATCCATGAGAGCAAGAGAGAGTGGAGTTTTGCCTCCAGGCTCTGGAGGTAAGGGACCAGAGCTTGGGCCCGCTTGTCGCAAGCTTTAATTTCGGACAATGCAAATAGTTTATTGATTTTTTTTATAAAAATAGGATTGTCTGCTATCCATATTCACACGATACCCAGTGTGTGTGTGCTGTGTGTGCGTGTGTGTGTGCGTGCGCGCGTGTGTGTGTGTGTGTGTGTGTGTGTGTACTTTGAGTTGGAGAGGCTGAATGGTAGCTTCTCATGGTGGGGGGAGATTTAATGAATAGTTGTCCTGAAGGTTAAGGAAACATGGAGGAGCCAGAGTTACTTCCCTCTGACATTTCAGGGTAGGCTTCTGGAGCAGGGGGAACTGTGTTTCCTTTGATCTCTGGATCTGCAAGGGCTGGGCTCAGACTCTCCACAAACCACAGGGCTGGCAGGAGCAGGTGCTAGAAAGCAGGAGAGGGAACGGGAGGCTGATGTGAGCCAATCAGGGCCCCAGGAGGCATCCCCTTGGGGAGAGCATGTGCCCTGGGAAGAGGTGCCCATGGTGAGTGTAGGTCCCTATGAATGGGAGCTGGCCCTCCACCACTTCTTCCTGAGGGAGTCTGGGAAGAATTAAAGACTTGGGACCTAAACAAGCTCCTTGAGTTGGGTATTGCTTTGCTCACAAGTTAGGCTTCCTGGCTATTGTGGCTCTCCCGGAGCTGGTGATGGCAACTCTAATGGCTTCTTGGCTGTGCTTTTCCCAGGGTAGGGAGAGGTTTCCTTTCCCCAAAGCCACCCACCACACCTGGCCCCGCTCGCCTCCCCCCAATTTCCCCTCCCTCATGCTGGTCATCTTCCTTCAATCCTGCTATTTAAAGATGTGTGCATAGAGCAGAGCCTCTCCCCTTAGATCTGGCAGACTCCCACCCCTGACTTCTCTCCGGAAGGACTTGGTCTTGGGGTGAACTGTCTCTCTGGAGTGGGCAGAGTGAGGGTGAGGGGGCCAAGGGCTGTAGCACAAACATAAATTGAAATTAAGGCCTCCAGTGAAGCCAAGATGTGGTTTAATTTCCCATCTGCATGATCACCATTACAATGCATGTTATTGGATATAAAGATAAATCCGGCCCTGTTCCTAATAGCTTTTAATTTCCACCAGACCTGATTATATTGATGTGGGCTCCTTGTGGGAGTTTCCCAGCATGCTTTTCCCCAGCATACTGACCGGCTGTTGTGGCCCCAGCAGGGAGGTTTGGGCACCACTCAGATGCAGGCCAGATGTGTCTGCTGCTGCTCTGGAAGACAAGCCTGTATCAGCCCCTTGTCCATGCAAATGGGCTCTGGGGTGCTGGGTTATCACCATGTCTTGGCCGGGCTGGGAGTGTGTTGGGGACCCTGTGTTGGGGAAGGGAGAAGATGCGGCAAGGAGGAATCTGGCCCGAGGGGTCGTGTCTGGAACGGCCCCCAGTGTGAGCATTCCCATCAGGCAGTGCTCTTAGCTGCAGCCCACCTTTGCCAAGGCAGGTGGACCAACCAGCTTTTCTTCACCTCCCAGTAACTGATGCCAGAGTACCAAGGTGCCAAGTGGGTTTCACACCTTTTTCCATCCTGCCTGGTGTGCACCTACCCCCTCCTCTGTCCTTTAAACTTGGTTCACATGTGACCCCTTCCATGTGGCCTGACATAAGCCTGCTGGGCAGACATTACTGCTCCTCTGGTTTCATTCCTGGTGCACTTACGTCTTTCTGTCTTGCATCATAGGCCCTTATTTCTGTCTGCCTGCTGCAGGTAGGTGTATGACTATATCTTTTTCATCTTTTTATCCCCAGGACCAGCATAGCACTGTCACAGAACAATAATAATAATAATAACAAGATTAATGATAGTACTTATCATGTATGGAGACCTCTTTGGGGTTAAGCATTTTACATATATTATCTCTAATCCTCACGATAACCCTCTAAGA